GTATTATTCGTTGCAATTATAAAAATGTTAACGTCGATGCAATGTGTATTCTTGTTAATCGGCTCCAATCACAGACTATTTGCAGAAATTGGATTATTTTGTATCCAATTCTAAGAAATGAGTTAAAAAATTGACAGTTATAACCGGGCAAATTCGAGCGACGACTTTAGTTAACAGTAGTTTGACTAACGTTGCCCGGACGATGCACCATTGAACCATTGAACCATTGATAATCGACTAGTTTGAAACTAGGCCCTGGTCGTGGTCGCACCACTGGTTATCAATAATCGATTTGATTTGTCAGTACAGGGGAAAGCATTCACGTGAAAAAGAGATAGCATGACATCTGTCATGACAGCCGCGAACCTTGCAGCAGAGACCAAAATATTTGTGACGATGAGATTTTACAAAGTTTAGTACAACCACAGAGCAAGGAAACGGATTCCGCTCCAGTATTGCTCGTGCGCGTAACAAGCATTCACCAATGGTCGAACTACAGTTCGGGACCAAACTTGTCGGCCTCTGTGATCATCTTTTAGCGACACGATTTGAAACTAATTTTTACCAATTGCCTGGGCTCTTCTGTAAGAGTTCTTCCATTCCAGCCTTGTGCAATCAGTGTTGTATTCACCATCAGATGGCTCTTCTATTTCCAATCCAAATGGCAACACAAAAACTAGACTTAAAAAAGACATATCCTCTTTTTGTGACAACAGCCTCAACACTATTCAATTACAATGTTGTCACATAAAGTAAACACGTGTATTTGCTGACAAATTTCTGCAATGAATTTGGCCCCAATAGGGAAATGGTAATTTCTGTCTTCATAATGTTTTCTAGTAACAGAAATTTAATTTAGTAACTTCGGTAAATTCAAACGGTTTTGAACAATTAATAATGGTAAAAGATTTCAAGAGGAACAACAATATCGGTGTTGTATTACCTTCCAAAACCACAAAAAGGGGTAATCCAAAAAAATACTTACACATTAACAGCCAATAAACACATTTGATCTTGAAATAGAAATTTATTTTTTAAAACTTTCATAATAACCAAAAGACAAAACCCTTTTATTCGTTCAATAATGAATATGTTTTACGTATGACGAATCTGACCAATCATAGGAATAATGCTTATAATTAGTAACCTGGGACTGTAAATTATTATAAACCTCTTGCTGCTGGTTTAACTTGCAGGGGCCAACAATTTCACAAATCAGCCCAAATAAATTTTAAAAAAGACCATTCATAATTTAATATACATGTAAGCCTGCGTGTCTTTGCATGGAAATCATGACAAGCTATTTCTGTCTACAACTCTTTACTACTGAGCAGTGCATGCTGTCAAGTCGGCTCCAGAAAGTTGCTTTTAAACTTGACATAATTCAGTAATTAACCTTCATACAAGTCTGGACCAATATTGCCTTGCTCTATTGGAGCTATTTCAGAAAAGCCCCTTGCACACTTCTTAATTTTGGCGGGTGTTGATTTTAGAGAG